GGTAGGTGATAGGTACATGGTGGTTCAGTAAATTACTCTGTATTTGTATATGCTCAAAATTCTCCAAAATAAAAAATTATATATATACATGGTATAAAATCAAGGAGTATATAAGAACTTATGATGGAAAGAAACATTCCACCAACCTACCCCATTTATGCATCTTTAGCCCAACTTCTTTTTAATCATTTATATATATATATTTTTGCTTATGTCTATAATGAAACATAAATTTAATTATAATTTAAATATAATTAATATTGTGTTTGAATTACTTTTTTTTTTACAGCTTTATCAACTTTAGACAATATTTATTATTCTTTGCTAGGAAAGATAAGGATTTAGCTCATTTATTATGTCCTACCTTACTTGTCTTACCCAGTACTTGAGGTTTAAGATTTTTAGTTCTTGTATTGGTTATCTTTGTAAACTGCAAATCATCTACTTATAAGTCTGTTTCTCACTTCATTCATCTTAGTGCCTTAATTTCCCTTCACATAGCCTGATGATAACAGCACCCTTATCCTTATTTTCTTTTCTCCCTTTTTTCTCCTTTACATTTTGTTGGCAATATTTTGACTTTTATTACAGTATTCAGGTTTTTAAAATACTGTCTGCAACCATAGTAAAATTTTCTATAGTTTATCCATAGGGTGATTTTAGGTGCTATACATTAAAATGTTTTATGATATTTGACTATATAAATACTGTTGAATGCTACATTAAGCAGTATGGAAGGAATGCATCTCATTTCTTATTGTTCCAATGTCAGATCCTTTGGGGCATTCAAAGGAGAATGTTCCAGGCATTGAGGTTAAATGAGCCTTCTTTTCTTATCCTCCATCAGTTGTTTATAATCATGCCATATTTCAGGTTGCTGCCTGTTTATACAAGACTGTTTTACACAGTTTTTTCATTTTTCTTGGAGTTTCTAATTGCTTTTCTTTAGCTTGCTGATACAGAATGCTGTGCCTTCATCATACTCTCCAGTAACCCTGTCTTCCGATATAACTAGTATTGCATGGAATCCTTCCTCACTCCTACCTCCCTTTATGGAGAACTCTAGATAAATCCTCCACCTTCTCTATTCTGGGCTGGCTGCTCTTTAGGTGCCAACCTGGGAACTTTCTTCCACTGCTTCTCTGGATTGAATCTACTGTTTCCTGGATCTCATGCATTCCTCCTTCTTGGTTTACTTAATTTGCTGTAGTATATATTCAAGTAACTCTCTAAGAAAATAGGAGATAAGCTTTCAGAGTTTTAAAATGTCTTTATTCTAACCTCATATCCAATTGATTGCTTGGCAGGATATAGAAATCTGAGTTCAAATCCATTTCCACAGAGTTACCAACGAGAATCTAATACCACCCCGATTCTTTTTCCTATTAAGGTGACCTGGTTTTTCTCTCTGGAAGAGTTCAGTGCTTTTCTAAAATTTCAAGAGGACTTGTTTATATATATCTTTTAAAAATTCATTGTGTGTGGCACTCCTTTCAACCAAAAGACTTCTTATATTCTGTATTATTTCTCTGATTCTGTGGGCAGTGACTGGAGGATACATAAGAGATTCGGGTGGGAGGGTCACATTCTGTATTTGATCAGATGATGGTTACACAGGCATGCTGTGTTTACCCAGGAAAGGGAAAGGAACCCCAAGGAATCCCACTGGGCTCCTGGTCTTTGGACCCATCCCATCACTCCAGTCCTTCCAATTCTTTGCACCCTGTATTAATTTCCTTCTCTCTATTTTCACCCTTCTTCTTCCCCAGACTCCAGTTAGTTAGATGTTGAAATTCTTGAACTGGTCCTTTATGTCTCTTCTGTCTCTGTCTCCCATGTGTGCACGTGTGTGCCACAGATATCCTTAAACTTCAGTTTCCAGGCCTTATGTTGAAATTTTAAGTTTTGGTACTTACATTTTAAAATTCGGACAGCTCTTTCTTGTGTTGGCATTCTGTTTTAATAAGATTCTATTCTTGTTCTATATATGCTTTCTGAATATAGTAATTTTTTTAAAAAAGACTTTTTAAAGGGCAGTTTTAGACTTACAGAAAAATTGAGAGTATAGTAAAGAGTTCCCATATACCCTGCACCCAGTTTCCCCAATTATTAACATTTTATTACATTAGCATTTGTTATAATTAATAAACTAATATTGATACATTATTATTACTATTATTAAAGGCCACCCTTTATTCACATTTTCTTAGTTTTCACTGATGTCTTTTTTCTGCTCTAGAATCCTGCGTTACGTTTAGTTGTTGTGCCTCTTCAGGCTCCTTTTGGCTATGACAGGTTTTCAGACTTCCCTGGTTTCTGATGACCTTGACAGTCTGAGGGGTACTTGTCAGACACTATCCAGGACGTTCCTCTATTGGGATGTGTCTTAACATGCTTTACTGTTTGTTTTGTTAACATGTCAGGCTGCACTTTGCATGTGGGAACCAGGTAAGGAGTCAGCTGGTCAGCTGTTCTGCACACCAACCTTCAGGGGTCCCCCATTTCTAATACTTCTCGTCAGATCTGCCGACTTGGGGTTTACAGCCTCTCTGGGACCCTAATGAGCAGAGTGGAACAGAGCAGCTCACTTCTCCACAGCAGCCCATCATAGCCCCTCGTTCTGGACTGTGGCCTCCTCAGCCTGCTTTTGCTTTCTGTCTTCAAGAGGTACCACATCTCTTTTTTTTTCCTCCAAGTTTTGAAATCTTTATTTTAAACTTATAACTTGATTGACAGTTTGGGTTCAAAATTCTATACTGAAAGTAATTTTCCCTCAAAATGTTGATATTATTGATTCACTGCTTTCAGATCCCCATTGTTACTGCTGAGAAATCTAGTGCCATTTTGATCCTTTGTATATAACATGTTGTTTTCTTGTTTGAATATATAGTCAAATAAAAATTTAAATATAATGTATGTATGTACGTATATCATATATATACAAAGTTTTCATTTTGAAATATTTTTAAAATTATAGAAAAGTCACAGAAATAGTAGAAACAATTCTTGTATATCCCTCACCCAGACTCCAGAGTTCTTAAATTAAGGAAATACTACATCTCTTGTACACTGATTTTTCTGTCCTTCACTCCTCTCTGCTGTTCCATTCACTTTCATGGGTTTATTACTTATAAATTTCTATGTTTTAACTTCAGAGGAGTTTGGAAAATAATGGGAAGAAAATGTCTGAGTCTGTCATCTTTTTCCAAAAGACTCCACATGTTCACTTTTTATACAGAAATAAAATTTCTCCTTACATTTAAGGGAAGGAAGTATAAATGTCCATTTAAGGGAAGGAAGTATAATTATGAGTATAACTCATAATTATAATTTTGTTGTTTGCAATTCTCTTGGTATAGACTTAATTTATATTCCTGTCAAAGCTTTTATTAAAGCTTCTGATAAAACTCCGTCAGGGTAGGGTCCCCACAGGAAAAAGAAGTCACCCATATGAACTTTTCATGAAGTAACTACGTGTAGAGTTGTGGGCAAGTTAAGGGAACAGACAAAGGAATGGGAGGCACAGGGGATGAGTGACAGAAAGATACTTTTACAGACCCCAGGGCCAAAAACAATGGGAGAAAAAGAGTTACAGGACCCCCATAGGACTACAACTGTGGAGAAGGGGCTGTCCAGCAGAAGCTGTTCACAGAGAAATACAGTTACTGTGCTGAAGCAAGGAGTCTGGAAGAAATGCTAACTTCTTTCTCCTCCGCCCTCCCACTTCCTGGCAGTGCTATCCATTGGCCAGACCCAACCAGAAGACAGCAAAAGCGACCCAAAATATGCAGTTTGCAGGAGACAGAGCAGGGCCAGGAATGGATGCAGGGATGAGGTGAGGGGCGGCTACAGAACTTCCACAAAACATAAATAGGGATAATGTTCGACATTATGAATATTTTTGATTAAATGTAAAAAACTATTAAGAATCCTCATTCCCATGAGTACTTTTTAAAGGGGAACAAAACCATGGAGATGGGGCTGAGGATAATCAAGGTCATCATGCAAATTAAGACAAGCTCAGAGACCCTGTACATAAGACAAATTACAACCCAACTTCATTTTCTGAACATGTAAAGCTATTACAACAATTAGATATCTATGTCATATGGCGTTAGAAGTCAGGACAGTGGTTCCCCGGGGCAGCAGTGATCAGGAGGGAGCAGGGGAAGCTTTAGGGGTGCTGGCAATGTTCTGCTTCTTGATCTGCGTGCTACTTAAACAGATGTGCTCACATTGTGAAAATTAACTGATTGATGCACTATGACTTGTGTGTCTTTTTGTGTGTGTATGTTATAGTTCAACAAAAATCTACAAAAAAAAAAAACCCGGTAGACATGAATACAACTTAAAAAACTCCAAGTATGTCAATGTATTTTTTTGCCTTTCTTTAGGCATCCTTACCAACAGTCAACAAGGATTTACTAGAACAACTAAAACAATGATATGCATTCAACAGAAACGAAAGGCAGACCTTAGCTTCAAAAAATTTGTGAGCTTCTTAGGAAAACTGAGTATTTAGACATGAAATTAAGAATATTAACAAGAAATATATGCAACAAAGAATGCTGCAGTAAAAACAGCTCCAATATTGGCGTGCAACTGATTCTCATCAGAAGGCCTGGATAAAAATACTCCCCAGGTCGGCTCTTCCTGTTGGAGCTCTCTTTCTCTTAACCTTAACAAAGGTCAACTCAGCTAACTAGGCCAAATGCCTGGTTTCACAAGGTGCTTCCGTGATTGCTGTGGGTGGGCAAGGGGGAGGCTGAATGGCCCTTCTCTTCTGCTTCAGCAGAAGGAGCGCTCTGTTACCTGTTTTGTACTACGGGTTCTACATTAATTTCCACTTAACAAAAGGATTTCACTGCTAAAACAAGCCTGGAAACCACTCTTAGAAATCTGACCTCTAGATTTGTATATCTCAATTGACATATCTTACAGTTGAAAAACCTCTGAAACTCTAAAAATGAAACCCATTTTAAAAAGGAAATGAAAATTACCTGAAGTAAAGGAATAAAATCATCCTGTTCTAGGGAGCTGCAGTTGGGCTTCGCTAGAAGACAGATAAACTTAGAGGCATCATCGTGATGGTTACTCAGCAACCTGTAAAAGAAACGACAGCTTAGGAAGACTGGCTACTGTGAACAATGACTATAACATCAGTACTTGGTAATTCTGGTCTGATCAGAAGGCCGTCAAGATCAAGAATCAAGTGCTCTCCTTTCAATGATTAAAAAAATTATTTTTTTCCATGCTCTTGATTTTTTTCAAGAAATTATTAAAAGGGCCATTTTAGTAAAAGCTCAACAACAAGATGGTATATTATTTTTGTAGAATGCTTCTGAGACCACAGGTAAAAATACACTTGAAGGAGAATGTCCACTCAGGTTTTAGCTCAGGACATCTGGATCCAGAGTTCCAGAGCTGCCCACCAGGAGGAACCACTGTGCACCACCTAAGACATAAACGTGTTTGCCCTGGTTGGCAGCCATACTCAGGACGGACCAAACTGATAGGGGGCTTTTGAAATTAGACTTTGAAGGACCGGGCTTAGGGAAAAAAAAAGTCCTATTAAGACTCCAAGCTCTAAGAATTCCTCATGTCCAACTAATTGCTGGAAATTTCTATTTGGATACTACACTCTGACAGCAAAGTCAAAATTTCAAAAACCAAATTTAAAATCCTCCTCTCAAAGTCAGTACTTTTCATGGATGTCTATTTTTGTTAATAGTGGTACCACCATGAGTTACCTGGGCTTGAAAATTTTAAGTCATTTTAGACCTATTTCTCTTTCTTATTGTCCATATTCAATTAGTCTTCAACTTTTCTGTTTTCCTTCCTTAATCATTTATTGCATGTTAACTATATGCCAGATACTGAGTCTGGCCTGTGGATACTTGGGATACAAAGAAAATGAGACATGGCATTATGCCCTGTAAGGAGCTTACAGTCTAGTGAGAGAGCTACACCAGTAAGATTATACCCCTGTATGACAGCCACCACAGATGTAATACGCACAGGGTGTCATGGAAGGACACGAGAGGGCCAGTAAGATTCCCCGAATAGGTGAAATAGGAAACCGGGCTGCTGTGGATTAAGAGGGTCGCAAGTACAAATGCCGGTGTGAGAGTGCCTAGATTATCTCTGCAAGTGCTGGGGTGGCAAGGGACGGGGACATGAGCATGCAGGATCAGATCCTGGAGGCCCTTTTATGTTAGGTCAAGAAGCCTAGGCTTCAGCTTATTCCACAGAAGAATTTCAACTCGAACAGTGACATGATCAGATGTGTTTTTCAGAAATATTAAGCAAAAATCCAACCGAGGGCTTGAGCATGGATACTGGCAGTGGGAGATGAAGAGAAGGGGGCAGGTATGGTTGAAATGCAAGGACATGGTAGTTAGTATGTGTGGAGGGGTAACAGGGGGAAATCCATGATGACTCCCAGGTCTCTAGCTTGGACCACTAAGTGCTTGGAATCCAAGATGGAAATACTGCAGTCCTGAGGAATATTTCCTCAAAACATTCTAGATAAGCATTCCTTCCTTCCTAGTTCCATTTTACCACCAAGTACAGGGTCTTATTACTCCATGCTGAGACTTCCAGAAGGGAAAAGGGTCATAATAGGCTTCAGTGTTCATCCAACCTTATATCATGGACAATTCATCATTCTGAAACATTCTCTGATCATGTAACTCCCTTCTCCAAAACTGTAAGGTAGCTTTCTACCACTTACATGAGTAAGTCTAAATGTCTGTGCTGGGCATTTAGGGCCCTCCCTGTTAGGCTAGAGCCTGCCCACCTACCTATCTCACCACTTGGCTAAACGAAATTTCCCCTCCAGGCAGCTGGCCTGACCTACTCTCCTCTGAAGGTGCCATATGCACTCCTGCCTGGGTGCCCTTTCTCACGGTGTTCTGCTTTCCCAGAACCCCGCCCCTCCCAACTCTGCCACCTGAATGCTGGCTATACTTTAAGGTCCAGCTAATAACTCACCTCTTTCAAAAAGCCTTCTCTGACAACTAAATTTCTTCTTGATCTTTGTACTATTTAATTTATACGTGTTATGTATTCCACTGTACCATGAGCTTTTTTTTTTTTTATTTCTCCGGCACCTAAAGGGTAAAGTTTAAGCTTTTTTTTTTTCCTTAGCACCCTGCATAGTCACTTTCACATAGATTTTCAAAAAATGGTTGTGATCTGTCTAACAGATGTACACTTAACTGTCTTCATTTGTGATTATTAAAGCCACAGAATGATCTTTGTATTTATTCTCCGTATCACTCTTCAGCATGCTAAGACTCCCTAAGTTAAATAAATCTACGTTTCACAAAAAGATTAGTGCAGTAGGTGCTGATGGGAACCACCTTTTAGGTTTAGAAAATGGGTGGGATGATCACAACAAAAAGACAGCGAAGTCTTTGGAAAGCAGTGCTTTTATGAAGAAAGGATAGCACCACGAAATAAAACCTGCACAGATATGACAGATACTCTGAGAAGGAAAACTCAAAGCAGGTACGACCTTTTACTATTAGAGGCATGAAACAGAAAGAAAAGGTGAATTACTATTCTTGCCAATGCTAGTGGCTAGTGAACTCTATATGGCAGGAGAAAAAGAAATAATAAAGGTTGTGAAAGCTGGAGAAAGAAGGTAAACGTGGTTATTTTGTTGTTTGTTTTATGAGGGGGAGGTGATTAGCTTTCTTCATTCATTTCCCCTTGGGGGAGCTACTGGGGATTGAACCCCTGGCCTTTTGGGTGCTGAGCATGCGCTCTGCCACTTGAGCTATATCCTTCCCCTAAACGTGGTTACTCCAAACTGGTGTCTTCCAGAGCTCTTAAGACAAAACACTGTTTTGTTAACGGGCAAATGACACGTTGGTGTGAAAAGGTAAGAGAAAGTAAAGCATAAAAAAGCTGGAGTGACATTTCTGGCTCCGTCTGAGAGGAGCTCTGCCACAAGGCTGGCAACCAGGAGCTCAAATGGAAAAGCTGTGGAGCAATGTCTTTCCCCTAAAAATGTCTTGACTGTAAGAGAAGCAGATGTCAGAGTACAGATATGAAACAGGCAGCAGAGTGGGGAAGGGAGCGGGTGCAGAGGCAGGGGAACAGGAGCCCGTGAAGGTGGAGGGGTTCATCCTCAAACCACCTGGAGGCCTCAGAAGCCTCCACCCCATGAGTACTGCGACAGGAGGCAAATTATTTCTGTTATGCTGGGATTTTCGTATTTGACTTTTCCCTCAAGATTATATAAAGCCTATTATTGGAGCAAGTCAGCATGTATATGTATATGCCAATATATTTTAATTCTGCGTCATCTGCCAGTTATTTTTTGTACTTGAAAGTTTTAATATATTATACTTGGATCCAAGTCACTTTATGCAAAGGGTACAATTTGTAAAAAGTTACAGAAATAAACAAATGTCTTCTTCCAGGTCAGTATGGTAATTCAAATCATCATGCTTAGTTGCTTAGTCTCCCAACATAGCCATAGTTGGGTCTCCTTTAAAGCACCCTGGTTTTTAAAATGCTTTTTAAGTGCTTAGAAGGAATTCCCACTAGAGGGCGCTCCAGTCATTATAGTATCTAGCCAGAAGATTAAAGCTTTAATACAGAGATATTTCACATATCCATTCATGGGATTTTTTTTTTAATGAAAAAGATAGGGACAGTTGCTCATGCTATGTAACTTCATAAGCAGTTTCCTGCAGTAACTGAAAATGAAGACTTGTGTTCCATGTCTTTTTTTCCCCTTCTGCCTTTTGCAGGAATCTCTTTTCCTTAGAGAGAAAATGAAAATGATTCATCTCAATAAAGGAATACATCTGTGTGGGTGCTGCTGCTACTCTGCCCACCAACATAAATGGCCACCCTATCTTGGTGACACAAATATCTTAAGACAAAAAAGAAACCCAAAAAAACAAAAACCTGGCTGTTACCCTCCTTAACATTATATAGTTAATTGTAGCTAAACAAGTTGCTTACTAGTTTTCCTTTGCTACAGTCAGCCTCAGGCTCACTAACATAGGGTCCTAGCATATTCAAAATAACTTAGAATGTAAGCAGTTTCAACTCTTCTCTCTGGCTCTAATCATTTATAGACTGTACTACTTCCTTTTTTCAATCTCCTAGCTTATTCAAAGCTTTCTCTTAAACAACCATAACTCATATCTTGCTGCTTTCTCAGATGGTCAGATGATTTCTGCCAACAATGCTGAACTCAGTGGCTGTGTAAAACAGCTCTTTCTGGTTCACACTCCAGCTGAGGCCTTTTCAGGGTCTGGCACCTACCACAGGGGAGAGGTTAGCTGAATGAAAGTTAGAACATCTATACATTTCAAGTTCTTCAATTCCTCTACTGTTACATGCTGATTTCAAATAACAACAGTAATAATAACAGATAGGCAGACCACCCAGTTGAAGTCCTGGCTTTACCAGTGGGGAAAGGGTAGGGAATCCAAGCTGACCCCTCTGTTGCTCAGGCCCTCGGTTCTATTTTCTTCCCTCAAGTTCTAGGCTGCCAGAACACCAAAGATAAATACCTCAATGGCAAATGCCAATTCCTTTACCGGTTTACTCCTGCTAATTAGTGCTTTTTTGCTAATTCCAGACTCCAAGGAATTCTTTTACCTTTATGACTACTTACCCACACACAGGAAAAAAAAAAAAGGCATTTTTTAGATTTTTATCCAGCCGTTTCCTATTTGCCATAGGGGAGGTGAAATAGTGACCACGACCCTGACTTTGGAGTGTCATCCTGCTGTTCTATGAGAAATGATTCTCCTAGCACCATTTTAGCCCTTGCTATGCAGACAATTTACAACTATTCCCTGTACAAACTGACTGAAATTTAACTGGAAAACGTGAAACATTTGTAACTTTTAGCTTTGATGTTGTTCTTTAAAAGAAGTCCATTAACTGGTAGTCTTATATGCCCTGATCACTTTAGTTCTATTCTAATATAAGAACTTGATGAATTCAATTTGCTACCAAATTTTTAGAAATAAGAATATACTTATTAATCACCTATTATGTTCTCAAGCATTATACTAAGGACTAACTAAGGGCTTTTAGGTGGCATAAAAAGATTGAAGGAATCTGTAAGCTGAATTTTGCTATCATATGTTGATTTTAAATTATGATGATGGTAGGTGAGTAGCATTTCCCAAAAGTTCACCAGGAAGGGTATATAGCCCAGAAATGGTGAGAAGAATATATGTAAGGAAGACTGATTAGTTACAAGAAGTAGAAGGGGCAAGCTATAACACTCTCTTAAATTGTGGAAATATAACAAGAAATAATTTCTAAAGAAGAAAGAAGTCAGAAAAAAATAAAAGAAAGAAGAAACTTGAGTTTGAATTCAAGAAGACTTGTCAGGATGTTAAAATCCAAGAGCCTCGTGAAACATTCTACTCATTTGCTCCTTAACTGGAGCTTTCAAAAAGTAATGATTAAACTCTATTAGAATTCAGTTATTTTAAATAAATCAACTGGATACAATTCTAAACTGGATCATATGAGAGTGGAAGCTGTACTTTTTACATGACACATGCTACCAGAGTCAAATCCTAAGACTCAAATTTAATAAGTGAAACTAAGAAACCATCAAATATTTATTAAAGAAGTATTTATAAAGATCTGCTTTACTGATTAGAGCCGTGTAAGATAAAGGCTTATGGAAAGAATTTGTGTGTAGGCATAAAAAGTTGTGAATCACTGAATTTTACTTGTTGAAATAAAGGGTAAGGGGAAAATTAATAAATGAGTAAAATGAGTGACCTTTGTAAAGCACGTCATGAGGACCAGGCAATTCTTTGCCAAGCCTGAGTAACTAACTGCTCACACTTACTTTCTCCACATGGCGATGAATGACTGTGCTGACACAAACCCAGTCCTCTCTCCCCCTGCAGCCCTGAACATAGGGGCTTTCCAATAGAGAGGACAGCCGCAGACCTGCAAACAAAACACAAATACAGTGTGAGCCAAGGGGCAGTGAAGAGATGACATGGGCAAAGAAAGGGCCTTTGAGGCTTTTACCCTTCACGCCACAGTGGACAGAGGGCCCTTGGACCAGCAAAACTGGGGCAGAGGCAAACACATCAGCTAGGGTAGATTCAGAGGGACAGAGGGGAAACAAAATGAGAAGGTGACATGTTTAATGAAGAAAATGCAAATCCATTTACCCTTTCTTCACGTTCATTTATGGTGATGTTCCTTTCCACTATCCTGATAGTTAAAGCAACCGGTCTCCCTTCCTTCCTACCACTCTTACATCATATATTTCCTACCATTAGGAAGAGAAAGAAATGACTGAATGTCATGGTTGTATATGCCCTTCCTTCCTATGGCAGAAAAAAGGCACCTTCATTGCTTGGTCGCTGGGTGTCAATGCACTCTACCACCTATTCCCCTCTCTCTCCTGTGCTTATTATGTCAAGCCCCAGGTTCAAGAAGAACCAGAAAAGCCTGGCCTGTTCAAGAAAGTAGTTACCAGATCTATTTAAATCTATTTACCTTTACAATTCAGGTGAAAGTGAAAGGTAAAAATTAAAATGCTATCCTTTATTTATATATTAGAAGACACCACAAATGACTACATATTATACAAGCCTTAGGAAGAACTAAAAGACAATACCTTAAAAGGTAACGCTCTTTTTCCTCCTTAATAAAAAGCTTTTAATTTCAATTAAAAAGTTATTCTCATACTCTTATAAGAGTTCTTACCAAATTTATGTGCTTTTTACCTACAGGGGATATCTTTACCTCTAAGTAATAATAATATCTATATATTGGCAGAGAAATAGTCTTCAAATGTTCCCAGTTTTGTATACACACATAAAACACAGTCCCAAATCTGAAGCTCTTGAAAGAGTCACATCTTGTTATTGGATAAAGATATTCTTATTTTTCATATTAGATACAGGATCTACTGAATCTTCATCATCCTATGACAGGAGGTTTCTCCTCTGGCAGCTGACTTGATGTGAATCCACATTAGGTTCAGGTGAAGTTGCTCCTGGTGTGAGGCCTCAGTGCACGGGGCTGGGGGGGAGGTCCCCACAGAAGCCTGGAGAATGCCCTGTCTGAGATTACGTATACTGAGAACGCCCAGGGCTGCTGGGTTCATGTCAGAGATGAGGATATGGATGGGGAGATTCAAGCCAACAGAGGTAAGTACAGGGCAGAAATAAGAGGTTGCTTCTGCCAGGGCCACTAAAGCATGTTCTGCAAGCAGGGTGGAATTTAAGATTTCTTAAGTCCAGAGGTCAAATACCTCCACTGAGGTCAAGAATGAGGGAAAGGTGTTGCTTAGCAACCAAATGGATTTTGTTTATTGTGTAAATTATGATTGCCAAGGTACAAAGCTCACAATTAATATACTTTGGGTAGTAACTGTCAAATCCACTTTCCCCAATCCCAATGTTCTCTTTCATGCGGAGTCCATACTTTACCAAGAAAATGCTCTTAGATGTGGCAGGGTATTGGCAGCTGCTGGGAAAGCTGAAAGTCTATATAATGGAGGTAGGGGTGCAGAGCCACCAGCAGACAGAAAATACAGGGAGGGATTGGAACTGGCCTGCCAAAGTGCTTGAGGCTCCTACCATTAGAGTCACTATGGATTTTTCAGAATTGGAAGAGATTAGGAATCTTCCAGCTCAACCTGGGGGAGTGGTCACCAGCTCAGCTGAAACACCCCAGGGGCTGTGTACTTACCACCTTCTGTGGGGCTACTTCCACTGTTAAACAATTTTCATACCCTTGGATTACAGTCTTTTATCCAGAAGACTCCCATTAAAGCGCTTACACGTCAGCTCATAAAGAGTAGTGAATCACCGAGATTAACACTTACAAATTTACTATGACCCAAAGGCAGAATTCTAAGAGGTTAGGCACAGACCAGATATGTCTAAAGGGCTGCCCTATTTTTCTGGTATGGGGCACCCTGAGTAGGCAAGCATTGGGCAGCATGAGGGGTATCAGGCCCTTGGAGAAAATGCCAAAGGGAAACTGGAAGGACAATGGATGGCAAGGGCTGCAGACATTACAATCTGACCATTTTTTAGAAATGCAGGACTGGCCTGCATCTGCTTAAAAACAAAGAATTAAGATAAAGGGAGTCAGGAGATCAGTAAAAAATGAAAAAAGTAAATGCTATAAATGCTACAAATCTGAGGGCAACAGAATATAGGCCTTTATAACAAAGGAGAGAACAAGCCCGTGCCAAGATTTTTTACAAAGGAAAAGAATGGACACAAGTGAGGAGGCACAGGACACACTGAAAGTGGGTTTAGGAAACTTATGTCTAGAGGAGGAGGCAAGAGTCAAGAGTGTGGCAATCCAAGTCACTGGAGCAAAGGAAGCTTGATTAATACCTATAATTTGATCTGAGAATGGGCCACAACATAAAGAACTGACAGCAAGCTTATCTAATGATACTCAGAAAGAGATGCCTGCCCAATATTTGTAATGTTCTTTAACATTTAAAAATGTCTCACGCTTGCTGTTTTCATTGGGTCCTGACACGATCCCATACAAAGAAGGCAGGCATTTTTGCCCCATTCTGCAGATGAAGAAATAAAGGTACAGAGAAGCTACCCTCCAGGCCACAGGCATGATGGGTCAAGATGGTGCTACATCAGCCAATGAGAAGAGGTGGGGGCTTTGCACCGGTCAGAAGACAGTTCCATGCTTTCCCCTCAACTTTCTGATAGACGCTGAAACTCAATGGTGACAAGTACTTTCCTGGCTGTTCCTCAGTTTCTGTTCCTATGCTGCTTTTGTCCCTCTCAGATTCATTCTCTATTCATTTCTCCTCCAGACACAGACTTCATACACACAGAGTTTTCTTTGCACTTAAAAACAGATACCCGATTAAGCCACACTTAATTATCACTCAGGGTAGACTGTAAACTCAAGCTGGCCATCCAAATAGCTTTATAAACCACAAGAATCCATAAAAATGTTCATTTATTGCCCTGACCACCTCCTTGCCCTTTGTCTCTCCTTTTCCTACAGCCAGCCTGCAGTGAGAACATGAACACATGAGTCCGAGTGCTGCAGGCGCAGGTCTGCTGCCCAGGGGTGAGGACCGATCTGCAGAGCACAGAAGGGCAGAAAGTGGGCTGGTTCAGTGAGTGCTAACAGACTGCCGTGGCCAAGGAAAAGCTAGATTACACAGGATTAGTGAACTGGAAGATATGATTAAACGAATTTTTTAAAATAAATGATTTTGAGACCAAAGAAACAAAATCCAATAAAATGACCTAATATAGTGTTTGAAAACAAAACAATATACACCCAGGAGTGGGACTGCTGGATCAAATGGTAAGTTTATTTTTAGTTTTTTAAGGCACCTTCATACTGTCTTCCATAATGGCTACACCAATTTACATTCCTACCAACACTGTAGGAGGGTTCCTTTTTTCTCCACACCTGCACCCCAATGTTCATAGCAGCACTATTTACAATAGCCAAGACATGGAAACAACCTAAATGTCCATTGACAGATGACTGGATAAGGAAGCTGTGTACACACACACATATACACAATGGAATATTACTCAGCTATAAAAAAGAATGAAATAATGCCATATGCAGCAACATGGATGGACCTAAAGATTATCATATTGAGTAAGTCAGACAGAAAAAGACAAATATCATATGATACCACTTTTATGTGGATCTAAAAAAAAAGACAGAAATTCTATTTACAAACCCAAAACCAAATCTTTCATAGATAGAGAAAGCAAACTATGGTTACCAAAGGGGAAAGGGCAGGGAGGGATAAATTAGGGGTTGGAGATTAACAGATAGACATTACTATATATAAAATAAATAAACAACAAGGACCTACTATGTAGCACAGGAAAGTATATTCAATTTCTTGTTCGTAACATATAATGGAAAAGGATCTGAAAAGAAAAATATATATGTATATGTATAACTGAATCACTTGACTGTATACTTGAAACCAACATTGTGAATCAACTACACTTCAATAAAATTTTTTTAAAAAATCAATGAATTTATAAGTAAAAAAAAAAAGAAAAAGAAAACAAAACAATACAAGCCTATAGACTCATGATATCTTCTAAGGTCATTATGCACAAATCTGCCATTTTTATATTCAATGTTAATTTTGACTTTTTAAAGGTATGAGCAGCTCACTGCTACCTGAGCTGATAATAAACATCTAGGAACAATGAACACAAATGCTTAGCACCTCTGAATGGAATATAGGGCTGTAGTCAAGTCCAATTCAGACAAGTTAATCAGACATGTATGTGTTTACTGGCTATTGTGACACATGACGATTTGGTGTAAACAGTAAGTTGTTATGTAAATGACTGCTCCTATAGCCAAACAAAATAATTTTCTATCTTTTTAAACTTCTCTATGTTGCCAGCTTCACCACTGGCAGCTTTTCCTGATGCCACATACAGAATGATCCTCACTGTCTGTAAATAGGACAGTCCTTCCTCTGACTCCCCAGCATGCAGACTCCTCCCCTGACTTGACTCACTCTTCCCTACCCTTCCCTTGACCACCTGTGGAGTCCTTGGCTCTGCTCTCCTCTCACTGATTCTGTGGTGTGCTGGTGGGCCACTGCACCACAGAGCAGGGCAGGGCTACTATGAGACAAGGTGGGAGAGCCAGAGCAGGTGCAGGGAGGCAGGGTGGCAGCGAGGCTCCTCAGTCAGGGGCTGGGAGTATTCAGAGGAGGAAGGCTGCCCAGAAACCTTCAAGACAGAGCAGACAGCAGGTCTCTGACAGCAAGGCACTAATCACTTGGATTGGCTCTCCAGATGTGGGGAGCCCAGCAGAGCACCAGGGAACTACTATGTCCCTAAGTCTGCATAGTGTCTCTGTCTGCCTGCCTGAAGCAGTCCATGAAACCTCCTGTTTCTGCTGCACAGACTGTTACCATGTTAGCATTTATGCAATTAATATGTTATCTCAAAAAGCAGACTTCATTCATCCTTGCTAAATACTCTTTTGGATTTAGATTCATCGTTTCAGCCCATTTTCAAATAATTTACAATGTTGACTCTTAAAATAGCCATCTCTCAAAGCTTTGGATAAGAAAATGCCAATGCCCTCAAAGAACTTGTAATTTATTTGGGTGGGTATAGCTTGGAAGTTAGCTGATGATGTGTTAGCATACGTTCAGGGGAGACAACATGGCAGGAACAGCACAACATAAGAGTCAGAGGACTTCTGAGACAGACAGGCGCTGGGACTTCACGTCAGTACTTGTGGGATTTCAGTTTCCTCACATGTACAATAGAGTGGAAACAGGTAAACGCTTGTTTCTGGAATGAAGGAGTTTGTTTTTCACGAGAAACATCTAAGGGGTCAACAAGCAAGTTCTAAGTTGGGGGTATGAAGAAAAAAAGCATAAAAAAGTATTATTTTTCATTTCCCTTAAAATCACTCTTATTAACAAATTATTTAACAGCAGTAACAAATGGTCTGAGGTTAGAGGTAGGAGAGAGGAGGCAGGGATTCAGGGACTTCTCTCAGGACACGACGGAAGCTGGGCCTCAGAGGAGGGATGACTGGGGGGCTGGCAGAGTGGAAGCCCATTTTGGAGGGGACAACTATGAGAGCCCAAATGTAGAGCATGCCGGTGGGAGGGCAGCTGGGTCAGGCTCACTCAGGGAACAGTAGTTTGGGTTTCATCTTCAAAATCAGTAATTTTCAACCTAAACATTATTCCTGAAAGCAGAGGAACCATTCCGAGTGGAAGTGTACACGGGGTCTTGGGAGCTCCCACTTGGTGTTTACTTGCCCACATACAGCCCTTAGCCTACTAAACCCCTCTGTCTCTTGAAGCACAGCTTGAGACCACCGCTAATTCCTGAGGTATGATATGACTCTTCAATATATGTGCACGACAAAAATAAAACCCAAACGAAACACCCCTATAGATGGTAGGAATCTCTGAATATGGCTGAGCTGGGGAATGACAGGCTCAAATATAAACGGATGGCTATGCTCAGTATTAACTGTTCTAGGAGGTGGCTGCGGGTACAGGATCCAGTTTCTGAAGATGTTATAGTAGTTCTAGCATACGGGGCTAAGATCTTAAATAAGAAGCATCTGGATATACTGAAAAGTATCAAAGACTTGCTTCCTAGTGGCAAATCCATTTATTTCTGGGAAGAATTACTGTGTTGAGTTGGCATAAAGGTTCCTTGTCTGGCTTCAGGGCAAATAGTTATGATCAATGAATGAGAACAAAAAAAGAGATCTGTATTCAACACAAGGGAAATTTTTCTAACAACTAAGGCTATTTAATGATAGAACAGGCTGCTTGGCAATGCAGTGAGTTTCCTGCCACTGAAAGCATTCAAGCAGATAATGAATTTATATGCCAGTCATGGATGGAATTCCTGTATTAAACGGGAGGTTGGACTGGGAGACCACTTTAAGGTTTTTTTTTTCTTTTTTTTTCTTTTTTTTTAAACTTAAGAGTTCCATGAAGTAGAACCATAGCTAAAGATACATCAGCATCAAATAAATTTTTTCAATATGGAAATAAATCTATGCATGCTGAAAAACAGATAGCAAGGAGGCAGTAAAGAGAGGGAGGCTGACGTTGCTAGAGAAAGGGAGACTATGCAACATTTAGCAGTTACATTACCTTTGCAATTTTCCCCATTTCATAAATATCTGCTTTCTGATCTTCAATATCCACGAAAGCACTTTCAATTCTGCTTAAAGTCTGTTCATGATTACTGCAGGCATCGGGGAGTCCTTCAGGAAAGTAGAACCGTGGAATGTTTACAGATAATGTTGCCTTCACAACATTATTCACATGAGGAACAGGGGAGAGAGGTCGGGGACTACTTGGAAAGGTGGCTGGAGGTGGAAGAGGCGTTCCAGGTTTCTTTTCTGGTTTATTTTGAATCTGGAAGGAAAATATGATTATGAAACACAAAAATTCTAAACAGTATATATTCTTGAAAGTCTTCACTAGTAACAGGAAGTTGGGTGTAAATACAAGAAGCCACAATTAGAGGCAGTGGACATCAAGGGCTCACTGTACCCTATGGCGGGTAAGCCTGCTCTAAGGGAATGCTTATCTACATGAAATGAATCAGTACATTAATTATCTGTCAATTACTTGAGTTTACATAGATTTGTGCTTAAAAAATCCTACAGTACATTTTCCTACCAGTGATGTAGCAGACATTTAAGAGCAACGTCAATTGTGGAATTTGACACAACATTGTAAAATGATGATAAATCAATAAAAAATGTTAAAAAAAAAAAGAGCAACGTCAATTGACACAATAAGGATCTCAAGGAGAATTCTCGGTCTGATGGAACTGGATTACTAAACTCTTGAAAATTATTCTTTGTCTTTCTGTGTATTTCTACTTCTCCTTCAATAAGTAGACAGAATGAGCCCTTCTTAAATCTGCAGATCTAAAATGCATTGTTGGAGGAGTGTCCTTCCACCTTCCCTAGACTGACTTTATCTAGAGAATCACTGCCAGCCCCTGATGCAGAGAAAGTCTTTAAGAAAATAAAAGCATTTTAGTTTTGGAACATCTTCTGCCAGGCTGATTTACTTGCCACTAGGGGCATGCATACTGTTTTTTCCCGAGATACACATTTTTCTTATTTTTGGTACTTTCTAATAGGCAAGGATCATGGTCATTAATTTCATCACAGCAAAACTCTCATTACAGTTTATCAATTCATTAATAGTTTATATATATCATTCCTTTTTCTAAAAAGGATTTGATATGCTGTACCACAAAGAGACATAAGAAAGGACAGTATAAAAAGGTCAAGGGGCAGGGGACAATGGGGAGATTAAATTATCCATGATTTAGGGAAAGGGGAGAGGAGGTACACTAACATTCAAGTTGAAGTTCATTTTACCAGCGAAAGCTAAAAATTTAGTTCTGAGATTCCTAGCAGAGAAAGTGAAAAAGATTCCATGAAGATTTTTCATAGTTTTAATTTCTATTCTTAATTTTGACCAAGTTATCTATAAAGGCTCATAAGCATGGCACTATTAGATGTTACATAAGGTATGAAAGATGAACATGACTGTTCACTAGCTAAACTTATTTTAAATTCACTGTGAACACAAAATATTACTCGTGTTCTTCTTTCGTAAATTATCCCAATGCCATTCCTAAAGTTTGAACAATGATTTATCAGTAAGAAGTAGTTTTAAATATCATATTTTCTTTTGATGCATAGACTTAAAACATGATCTTTAAATTCAGGGTAAAAATCTTAGCTACCTTTGAAAAGCATGAGAATTATAGGAAGACAAGCTTCATTCACATAAATATATGATAAATATGATTTAATCTCTTACTTTTGTTAAACATGGACCATTTTTCATGGTAATATCTGACACTAATACACAGACTGGAGTCTGCTCATATATTAATACTATTGGGGATATGAAGTCCAGCTGGTCACACCAAGCCTTTGCTACAGTATCAGGATGTCACCCATATAAAGCAACAGTCAAGGAAGAAATGGCAGAGGGAGTGATGCCAATGAAATGTGAAAAACCTAACAGGAAACAGTGATGGCTTACTAGCTCTGTGACCTCAGGAAAATTACTCAATCTTACAGAATTTCAGTAATACAACATTATAACCCCTACTTCTTGGAAGGTTGTTGTGAAGATTAAAGGATATTACAGGATTAACAGGTAAAAGGTTCAAAACTATGCTGGGCAGAGTTATGTCTTAATTTTAAAAAAGAGTCACAAAGCCAAAGGATGAAGTTCTCAAAAGGTTAAACATAAGCTGGCACAGTCTTCCAGGTTCAAAAATAAATAAAGTAACCATTTACATTTGTAAAGCTATTTAGTTTACCAACTACTTTTCATGCAACAAATTGATAATGTATCCTAAGTAGACATTTCTTTTTTGCCTTAATGCTAAATCTGCAAATATTATTACACAGTCCTGAACCAGTAACAGTAGAAGTTGTTCTTAAATTTCTAAAATAAGGCATATAATTCTTCAGGGGCTTTGCTTAGGTCATTTGCATTGTCATTTCCTTTCTATTCTATCCTGAAAAAGATTTGTGACACTACAAGTAAATAAGCATCAAAATTATTTTTTTGCTTCCCCAAATTGTTTCCTATAGTGTGACATCCAGGGCAGTTATGGATAACTTCAGGGCTGCTATAACCATAGGATTAAGACCACTGGTGCCAGTGGGGATGAAACTCAATAGTCAGCCTAGCGAACACACGCTACTGAAGAGCAAGGCCTTCAATGTTGACTCTGTGCTTCTGCTTTGATAGAAATAAGAGACATTCAGAACAAATCCTGGCTATCTGTCAAGGTTTTAATTTGAGTGGGAAAATATTTGATTCTATAATAATCTACTCTGCTTTCCTCAGTGTACTTCTTAACATGGAGCAGTTCACTAATAGACAAACGTTAATTAATTCATTGTTTGATTCCATATTTAATAGAAGTGACATTACTATCTGAAGGAAAAAAAGAACGCATTCAATTTGCAACTTTTAGGTGTATCAATTTACTTTTCACTGAGTTCAATAGGAGACATAATTTAAACCTCAAAGTAGCTTAATAAAACTGACCGTTTACAATTAGAGAATAGAACACAGTAATATAAAGTTCATCACATTTACCAGCAAGTTTAGCATCTGCTCACTCTGAATAAAATTATTTCATTCGAATCTAGGAACAGCTTTAAAATAGAATTACTGGGCAAAGTATCTCAATTTTCCATTACAGTTTTTCACTATAAATACAGTATCATTTAGCTATTCATTCTGAATAGTACCCTTATGCTATTATGTCACTGTAGCATTTCCAGTATTTGACTATTTTGGACCCATTTTTTAAAAAAAGCCATTTCATATGGTTCACTCAAAAAATATGAAATTACCATAGATCAGAATAACTACAAAACTATGGTTTCTTGCTGGATTCTGGATGGCCATCATTGACATGGCCCTTGATTTGTACTGTATTCAATGTTAGGCAACTTGTTTGATGAGACACTGACCCTACGAGTGTAAGCAAGTTAGCATGGTCTCTGCAAGAAGCTACTGCAGGCAGAAATGACTCAATCTCAGTGTGCTGAGGGAAGACATTCTTTCACAACCCAGAAGTAATTACCATCCTTCGTTACCTACATACAGTATATCACACACACACGACTGCATATATGTAAAAACAGTTCTTTCAAAAAAAAAAAAAGACTAACACGTTCAATATTCTTTTTTTAAAAAGATTCACTACAGATGTATGTAGCTTAATACAAATTTAGTCTATTGATTCAAGTGCAAACAAGGCTTTTAACAACAGAAATTCTAGTTTCTCAGACATTTCTACTAAAAATTCTGAATTGTAAAATATTCGTTAAGTTGTATTTATTGTCTCTAAAACTGGATTCCCTCTCTACAAGAGAAAAATGTGAGTACTGTACTTCAGATCCAGAAGGTCTATTTTTAAACCTGTTGGAATCTCTCTACAAATAGCTTTCTGCAAATAGCTGAATAGAGGACACAGATTAATTCCTTGATCTAATATCAAGTGAGCTGTAAAATTATTTGTAAGTTAGTTCACTGGGTGGTTTTATTAGTAATAAAAATATTTTAAAAGAAACACCCAAGTTTCAAACCTGTGTCTGCTGAAATGACTTCAGCCGCTTCTTAAACCGTGACGGGAGAACAAAATCACAGCCCCTTGCCAGGAAAGCTAACTCTCCCCTTAAATCCGGGTCCCTTCGTAGAGATGTTTCCTTGATCATCATCTTTGAAAAATGGATATTTACTTAGCAACTGTCCAGCACACTTCTGAAGATAGAGTTAATAAGTTGTCAATCTCGTCAGGCAGAAAGGTATTTTTTCTTCTTATCTCCCAAAGAAATTAAGTTCAAGCATTGTGCTCTCCCAGCCTCCAGAGACCACAATCCATGCTTGTACTGACATGCAGCTGCTCCCCAAATACTGCCTGTGGCTCCCAATATCTGCTCATAATTTTCAAGAAAGAAACACGGGCTGCAATGGGCCTGTTGCTCCTTGTAGGTAGCTTTATGTCAAACTGACCTACCCATGTTGAGAATTACAGAGCCTTCTGGGAAAAGAAGCACCCACTACTCTGAGCACCAAAGTTAGAAACATTACAGCTGGACCTAAAAATAGCGACTTCTCAGATAATGCTAGCTTCTTAAACTCAGAGTATGTGAGGTGTCAATCCACATAAAACAGTTTCTCCTCAAGCTAGAAGAGAAAGAACATGTTGAGCATTTTTAATTTTGCTATTTAATATTTTATGAAAAAAGAAGTCTGTACTTCAAGTCTGAAGTACATCTAGTTTTTTATACTTCTTAGTTGAAGGGAAGCAAATGTCCAAAACCCTCAAGACAAAATGTGGAGAAAAAGACTTTCATTCTCAAATGGTAATATAAAAAGAGATTCGTCAGTCTCAGATTTTAAAATCAAATCTCTTTTTCCCTTGTTTGTTGAAAACTATCTTAGTCATCAAACATACTTCTTTGAAGTGATTTTGAATCTGGATACATCTGAAAATTTACTGTCAAAGTGTTGGTTTAAGAAGTGGAATGACTGAATGCCAGAAGAAAGCAGCTTTAGATACACAGAAGTGAGTGAAATTTGGCTATAATAAAGGTACAAAAGATGATCAAACAGCAATGACAGAATGCATCTTCAATTTGTGAGACTTGTTTTTCTTAAGAGGCTTTAAAGAAATCTCAGATTTTAAAAATATTCTATTATTCTATTGCATGTTAAACACCTGCCTCAAATAGTTATTTACAAGTGAATCTTTAAGTATTCTCTCATGTTTAATATTCAGACTTCAATATTTATTTTCCATCAGCTACATTGTTCAATATTTTCTACTTCTAGAAAATATAAACCAAGTATTA